GCATTGTGGGTGGTGAAATGCAAGTTGGTATATTGAAGGGGGGGGGGCGGGGGGCGGGGGTTTGCAAGCGAGTGGGCGGAGGAGGGCTTCGGGAGCGGGAAGGTGTGAATTAGGGCTGGAGGGCGGCGTCGGACAGCCGACGAGGCGCGGTGGGAGCGCTGGGGTTGCGCTGGCGGGTCGCAGGCTGCAGCAGCATGGGAGCGGCGGCGGCGCGCGCCGTCTGGTGCGCGGGCTGCGCGACAGCTGGGACGCACCGTATGCGGTTGGGGTCAGCTGCAGGGCCGGGATGAAGCTGATGGATGCATAAGACAGATTACCCCTGCGGAGCACGACGCCGCCACCAGGCAAAATTTGAGGTTTGTGGTACGCAGCGGGGACGGGAGAGGCTGACTTCCCAGGCGACGTGCGGCGCCTGCTTGATGGCGAACCACCACCGTGGCCTACATGCGCACGGCGCATTTCACGGCCACAGGCCGCGGGGACCTGCCTCACCACAAACTGTACCGCTGGACAGCTATGCATATGTGGAGCTGGCAATCCCTGTCCCATGTTCTCACCTGTCAATTGTGGACATCATCACGGTCAGCGCAAACAGCGGTGCCACGGCCAAAGTGACCTTTTGATAGATGGCGTCCAGATCAGAGCTGCTGCCTTTCGGCATTTCGTAGAGGATATCTTTGTCTGCACCACCGCCCGCGGCGGTGCCGTCACGAGCGGCGTCGGTGTTTGCGTCAGATGCGGCGAGCGCCCCTGTTGTCCGTGCCGACCCCATAGGTACGGCTGAGAGAATTTCAACTCTAGTGATATAAGAACCACAAACGCTTCAGATGAGAATGTGTGCCGCCGAGCCACGACGAAGCTTGCAACGTTCGGGCAGCGGGGATCAGTGGTCCACGCCGGCGAGTCTATGGGTCCATGGACGCGATGGACGCCAGATTGCAAAGCTTCATGCACGATTTCGGCGTGAGTTCGATTTTGGGGGCTTCCATGGTGCATGTGTGACCGCCGCCCCGGCCTGGTGACTTGCGTGTGGTGCCGCATGCCTGACGGCTTTGGGCAGAAAGCAATTTTGGTGCCGGCCGACGAGCTGCGAGCGGCCACCGACGACAGAATCAACACTAGCGTGGCACCGCAGCCGTCTGACTCCGCGTGTGATGCCTGGGATCGCTTGCCGACGTTCAAATAGACTGTACAACAGTTGCGCCGCCGCCTGCTCCCCTGCTGAGTGTCCCATGTCCCCAGGCCCGTCCGAGCCGCGGCCCAATCAACAACATGCTACACGCCGTTACACCAACCCTTGCCTCGCGCCACACCCGCGACCCGGGCACGGCCGCGCGACGCGCCCCCCTCACTGCGCCGACCCGGCCGCCTGCTGCTTGCGCGCCTCAGCTTGGGCTTTCAGGTCTTTCGACTCCAGCTCAGCGGTCTTGACCAGCGCCCCCGGCACGTCGACCAGCCGGTAATCCGCCAGCTGCCACCGCCCGTCCTCGGCCTGGGCAAACACATTACAAGATATTTGAAATTGGTTAGTTGTCAGTTGAGTTCGGGAATTTATTGGGGCCCTCCCTGTTGGGATCCAGGGGATAGAGGATGATACCGTGAGACGACCTGACAGGAGAAAAGCTGTCGACCACCTCGCTGACATGACCCCTGGGCTGTCCACTGGCATATGTGGCCGCCAATGCCAGGCTTCAAAGCCCCGCAGCCGCTCGAGAAGGGCGCGCGCATAGCGGGGCGGGGGGCAGTGGTCGCGGCTGCGCTCACCTGCAGGAAGCGGCCGTTCTCGATGAGAGCCCGCCGCACCTTCTTCCCATTGGCGTCCACCTGGGGGGGGGGGGAGGGGGGGATGGGTGGCGGTGAGACCCCAAGGCAGCAAGATGGAGGTGCTGCTGAGGCGCTCACCTCCCACGCGGCGTGGCTAAGTGGCGATTCACACCCGAGGCCGACCCCGTTCGCCCTGGCCCAGCTCACTCCCTCGCCTCCCCGGCTCGCACGGTCTCCCCTGCTCCGCCGCCTACGCCCACTGCTCCCCCTCAATCGCTCCAAGCCTCTCTTTGCCCTTGTCCCTCGCCATCAGGCGCACCTGGGGGGTGCGCTTGTCCAGCAGGCTGTACTGCAGCTGGACGTACTTCTCCCCGGGCCGGTCGCCGTCGCTGATCTTCAAAATGCGCAGGTTGCTGCGTGGGGGGCGGCGCACGGCGGCGGGGTCAACGGCATGCCAGCGGCACGGCAGGCACGTACACCATCTGCTTGCATGCAATGTAAATCTAAGTTGTGTGAAGATTGATACCCGTTTTGGACACGCACACCTCCAGCTCGTACTGCATGGCGTGTGTGCACACCCATGCCCACCTGCATGCCCACGCACACATACATACACACAGAGTCACATGAGCGCGTGCACAACACACGCGCCCCAAGCGGATGGGACTTGTGTCCCCATCTCCAATCCCACCTGTAGTCATTGGTATCCACCGTGCGCTTCATCTCTCCCCGCAGCTTGTCCCAGTTCTCGCCGGGAGCAGTGTCAGTAAAGTACACTGGTGATGCCGCAGGGTGAAATCGCAGCAACCGCTCAGTTTGAGATGTGGATTGAATAGCCCACCCTCTATTCCCTCAAACCCATTCAGCCAGCAAACGACAACGATTTGTCACATGTGCTCGTGGCATGGCAGCTTGCGCTGCACAACAGCAATGCTATGCAACAGCGGTGATGCTCACTAGCAGTGCTGCGCATCAGCAGCGCAACCGCAGTGGCCCACCTGATGAGAACTCAGGGTGGAATGTGGACATCAGATAGTCAACATCCTGCAGAAAGGGGTGGGGCGATCAGCACGCCCGGGCCAGGCTTTAAACCAGCGCTCGTGCTGCCAAACGCACCGAGGCCGCTGCCAATATCTGCCGAAAGCCGGGCCGCTTGCTCGCCCCAGCGACGCGATAGCCAAGTGCAAGCCCGTTTGTACTGCCCAAACCCCGTGCCGCTCTGCCACCTGCACCGTGGCCAGCCGACTGCGGTAATGGCACTGAAAGCCGGCTGCTAACATAAAAGAGCGCAGCCTCAAGGCCACCTGCCTGCAGCCGCGGCTCGGCTGGGCCAGGTGGGGCCCCGGCGCACCTTTTTCACCACCGCTGAGAAACGGGCCTTCAGGGTGTCTGTGAGGGAGGTGGCGATCTCCCCTTGGTGGAACTTCTTGCAGCAGTCGCGGTAGAACTTGTTGCTGCCGCAGGGGCAGCCGTCCTTTAGGGGGCCCGCCGGCGCCTGGTTTGGGGCGGTCGGGCAGAGGTGCGAAAGCGTCGTCCAGGAGCATGCAGGAGGGGTCACGCGCGTATCCCCACACGCATGTGTATGGAGGGGTCACGCACGCGTATGGAGATACGTGTGTCATGCGTGGCACGCCTTTGCTTGCATGGGCAGCGCAGCGGGCGCGGGCAGGGGATGTACAGGATCGGGCTGCGGCTTGCCGTCCGCAGGTGCATGACCCGATGGTCAGCACCGCACGGCTGCCATGTGTGCTGCTCCTCTGTATGCGTTCACTGTGCATTCTCTGACATGGGCACGAGCTGCGCCCCATGCAGAGTGCTGCATCTGTCAGCCTCACCTTGCCGAAGCCTTTAGCCGCCGGTGCAGCGCGGACGAGGCGCGTCGCCGCACGCCCGGAGTGTGCCGCGCTTGCACCGCTGCTGCGCCATCCACACACTGGTCTGCCAAACGCCAAAGCCATATTGAGAGCGTAAACAGACAATGGGCTGCGCTGGACGCTGGGAAGAATCAAGAATGCGGCCTCACTGGCAGCTGCGACGCTTATGTACGGCTATGAGCTTATCAGTTGTATCGATACAACCGAGCGCCTGTACAGCAGCGAAGGCGACGGTGATCTACGGTTATGGGACCTAGACAATGGTTTGAACGGCGAACGGTATGGCTGCAAACCCCGTGCGAGTGTGCATGCAGGTAAGCTGACTATTCGTACGGTACTGTACCCTGTATGTGCCCCTTGCTGCGTGATCAGCAGCAGGTCGGCAAGTCACCTGGTCTGCGCCAGGTCTGCGCTTGCAGAGACTGGTCTGGGTAAAGTTTCTTGGCGGATGTTCGTGCATGCACTGCCGCTCGCATCTGGTATGCGTGTGTCCTGTGTGTGCACGAGATCATTGGTTCTGGCCTGTGTTCAGAAATGGCGCAGTGAGCGACAGTGCAGGCGTTACCGTTTAGATTGTTGTCAACCTCTGCTCAAAGCTGCTTGGGCTGAGTCCACATCCCACAAATTGCCAATACCATATCAACTAGAGTTTTTTGATCAATGTTACCTCAAGAAAGCGTTGCTTGCAAGATTGATGTGATGCACTCGCCGGGTGGCAACGTGCACCCGGTGATGTGCTACCCGTTGTGCGGCAGCCCCTCAGCCCCCGCTCACCGGCCAGGCGGGGCAGCACAAACACAGGCAATGGCCGTTGTTGCGCAGAAAGTGGCACAGGGGACCCTACAGTGCTGCACCTCTGCCGTCAATCACGGCGAGTGCTTCTCAAATCCGCTGAACATGTGTGCGGGCGCAGTGCGGGCTGAATGCTCGCTCAATAGTACACAAGCTCATCAGGCGCAGCAGGGCGAGCCAGGTGTGCGTGGCTGGAATCAAAGCCGCCCTGCTCTCTTTCTTTTGTAGCCTCTTGGAATGCGCTGGACCACTCGCGAAAGCAGCGCCCGCAACTCCTAAGCCAAGGCCGGCGCCGCCAGGTCACTTCCCTTGTCAAAATGGCGGAGTTGCAACCCGTCCTCGACGTTGTCTCCTTGCGCTGGCTGTCAGCGCCTGCCTGATTGGCCTGTTGTTGCGCCCTGGCGGCCTCCACCCGCAGCCGTCGCCATCGGACAGTCTCTTTTTAGGCTCTCGTCAGGGCCCTCGTTTGTTCTCGTGTTGTTGTGTCGTCTTCTCTTGGAGAGGCACTGCCTCAGATCCTGCCCGCCGGCCCCAGGGCCCGGCGCCGCCATGGGAGGGGCCAGCAACATGAGCACGTTGGGGCGATGCTTGGCCCTTGGCTCCTCGGCTATTCGGGTGTGCGATACCCCTCCTGCCAGCAGGCGGAGATCAGCACATGCCCTGCGCGCGATCATAAGTGTGGACGGAGTCAGGCAGGGACAGTTGCACGAGCGCTAGATCTGCAGCGGTGCATAACCGAGCGGCGCCAGCGCGCCTTACGCTTTGTCAGCTGAGAAATTTGGGGCCAGGGAAGTCCCTCCCCATCCGGGAAGGGGGATGGGCTGCTGGGGCAGCTGCTTTGCCGGTGCATGCAGAGGCCTGCCGCGCCGTATATGCAACCAAACAATCCGGAGTCTGCAGGGGGTGCTGCAGCATCAAGTCGACCGACAATCGGCTGCATTACTGCACACACCTGCACATTGACGGCGGTGGGGATGCCGGCGGCGGCGCGGATGCTCGGCCTCAGCGGGGCAGAGGCGCCCTGGGTTTGCAATGCGAGCGCGACGACATAGAAGTGAGAATGTCAACGGGATTGGCAAAAAGTGCTGGTTGTCAGGAGGGGAAGTCGCACACAGCACCTCACAGCAACAGAATCACATCGACTTTCGGGACACCTCTGTCTGGCGCCGCAACCCATCCTGAGCTCAAGATGATAGGGCCCCGCCAGTGTTAGGCGTTGCAGACGCCTGAGAGTGCACCCTGTTCTCGTGTGCCCTCCTGGCGAGGCCATGGGGCCTGCAGAGCTGGCTGCAAGCATAGCTGTTGCCTATCAACTGGATCCTGACGGCAATTTTGTTTGTTTCTGCCGGCGCACCCCACCCATGAGAGCCTCACCTGTGCGTTGGCACCGGTGTGGCAGGCGCACCCGCACGCGCAGCGGCCGCTCGCGCCGCAGCAGGCGCAGCAGGCGCACGACGCGCAGGCGCTCGCGCACGCGCCGCGCGCGCAGCTGGCGCAGGCGCAGTGGCACGCCGCCGCGGCCGCCGAGGCGGAGCTGGCGGCGACAACGGCGG